CGTGTGAGCTCTGGTGTGGGGAGGTGGTCTCACGGAGGGCACGGTGATCCATGGCCGGCACTCAAGGAAACGGTCCTTTCTGGACTCAGGCAAGCGCTGGGCGTCGTGGAAGGCCCAGTACTGACCTTCTGTGCTCACACCAGGCCCTCCTTCCTGATCCTCAGCCCCCAGCCCTGGCAGGAACCTGACTGCGGAGGCCCGGACCCCCAGCTCCATCACCCTGCAGTGGCAGACGCCCCGTGGCCTGGACCGGAGGCACCACACCCCCTGGGGCCTGTGGACCGGACGGGATGGCGGAACTGAGGCCCCACGCACGACCGACACCAGTTTCACGGTGGACGGACTTGAGCCCAGGTCTCAGCATGAGTCTTCCGTGTGGGTGCAGCAGGATGAGACCAATAGCTCCAAGCAGACTCTGCAAAACAGCACAGGTGAGAGGCAGTCATGGCCATGTTCTCGACTTCTGCTTTTCCCAAAAGGTGGCCGGCAGCGACAAGGACATGGCAGGTTCTGTCGCCCAAGAGAAATTGAACGGAAGCCAAATGTGTAAATTTAAGTTTTCGATCAACCACTTTAATGTTTGTTTATTTATTGAAAGAGAGAGAGAGAGACAGAGCATGAGCAAGAGAGGGGCAAAGAGAGAGGGAGACACAGAATCCAAAGCAGCTCCAGGCTCTGAGCTGTCAGCACAGAGCCCAAAGCCGGGCCCCCACCCACGAACCGAACCGTGAGATCACGACCTGAGCGGAAGCTGGACGCTTAACCGACCGAGCCACCCAGGTGCCCCAATGTCAACCACTTTAAAAATAAGTAAAAAGATGGGTGCCTGGTTGGCTCAGATCAAGAGCATGTGACTCTTGATCTCCAGGTTGTGGGTTTGAGCCCCACATGAGGTGTAGAGATTACTTAAAAAGACAAAGAAATTTAAAAGTAGTAAAATGAAACGTGAAATCAATTATAAAGTGAGAATTTATTTCGTTCAATAGATCCAAAATATTATCATTTTTTAAAGTTTAATTATTTTGAGAGAGAGAGAGAGAGAGAGAGCACATGTGTGAGCAAGTGGGGGAGGGGCAGAGAGAGAGAGAGAAAGAGAATCCCAAGAAGCCTCCTCACTGTCAGTACAGAGATCGACATGGGGCTCGAGCCCAGGTCAGATCATGACCCGAGCCAAAATCAAGAGTCAGATGCTTAACTGACTGAGTCACCCAGGCTTATCCATTTTCAAAAGCAGGCTCCACGAGCAACCTGGGGATCGAACCCACACCCCTGAGATCAAGAGTCGCGTGCTCTACTGACTGAGTCAGCCACGTGCCCCCAAATATTATCAATATTATCAATATTATCATTTTGAAATGTAATCGACGTATAAAAGAACCAGAAGATAGTTTACATTTTTTAAATGTTTATTTTTTGAGAGAGAGAGAGAGAGAGAGAGAGAGAGACAGAACGAGTTGAGGAGGGGCAGAGAGAGAGGGAGATACAGAATCGGAAGCAGGCTCCAGGCTCTGAGCTGTCAGCACACAGTCTGATGCAGGGCTTGAACTCAAGAACCGTGAGATCATGACCTGAGCCGAAGTCGGACGCTCAACCGACTGAACCCCCCAGGCGCCCCAAGATATTTTCTTAACTTCATACCC